CAGTTTGTGCCCGTTGCCCCTTGTCCTGTCGCTGGGCACCACTGGAAAGAGTCTGGCCCCCTCCTGACCCCCACCCTGCAGATATTTATAAGTAGATATTAGGTCCCCTCTCAGCCTTCTCTTCTTCAGGCTGAACAAGCCCAGATCCCTCAGTCTATCCTCCTAGGAGAGATGCTCCAGTCCCCTCCTCATCCTCGTAGCCCTCCGCTGGACTCTCTCCAGTAGCTCCTCATCTTTCTTGAACTGGGGAGCCCAGAACTGGACCCAGGACCCCAGATGGGACCTCCCCAGGGCAGAGCAGAGGGGGAAGAGAACCTCACTCGCCCTGCTGCCCACACTCCTCTTGATGCACCCCAGGATCCCGTTGGCCTTCTTGGCACCCAGGGCACGCTGCTGGCTCATGGTCACCCTGTCGTCCCCCAGCACTCCCAGTCCCTCTCCACAGAGCTGCTCCCAGCAGCTCAGCCCCAGCCTGCACTGGTGCCTGGGGTTGTCCCTCCCCAGGTGCAGGACCCTGATGAAGCAGCAGGTGAAGTTCAAGGATGTTTTACCTTACTGGTCAGAATTTAAACCCAGTCACTGACACTGGTGTTATTTGTCCATGAAAACGTGACAAAATACAGCACCATGAACAACCCCAGGCGATGAGAAGCAGCCTGCTCATGACACCCCACAGCAGATGTTCATCTCCCTTTCCTAACCAAGAGCCTGGAAATCTGAAGTCAGGGCTGGCTGCTGTCCCCGCTGGGACGAGCAAACCCAGTTTGGAGCCTCCTTCCTCACAGCACCGAAGTGCTGAAAAATGACACCGTTTTTCCTCACCCTGGTGCGTTCTGCACATGAAGTCATGGCTCTCCCCGTGCTCTCATGAGCTCAGCCACCACCCTCACCTCAGAGAAAGCTTAACGCAGACCACACACCAGGAGTAACATCCTCTTCAGGCAGGGAGAAAACCCAAAGTGCCTGACTCACCCTTCACTAACACCCCCGAAACCAAAACACAGCTCAGGGGCCCTAATTAGCAGCGTGTTCCTCCGCTCTCCAGGAGAATTTTCTGGGATGCTTCAGCAG